TCTCAAAGGGACTAAAGAAAAAATAAAACCCCAAAACCCCATTGGACTATATTTTGTGAGATATTAAGAGTTGAAATATACATTTTTAATCGAAGAAATATAAGATAGTCTGTATTATTATTGATTAATGATTAAATATGATGAAACTTTTTTTTAAATAATAGGATTGCTTCTAAAACATCAAACTCATTCCCATTCATTTTATTTGAGGTCTTAACTTCTGTTATCATCTTTTTAGATTGTTTGAATTTGCATCAGAGTATCACTGTTTTAAACTGATTGATTTTCCTATTCAACTTGATCCATTGCTTACTTAAATTATTTTTCGAGATCATCAATATTATATTCATTTTTCCTTTGGGAAGTTGAAGGAACTTCTTCGTATATTCTAAAATCAATTTATTAATTCTTTATATTTTTCAAACTCTATTATATTTTCACCTTTAATTCTTTGTTATCACTAAATCTATTATTCTAGTTTTAAGCATCATTATCTAAATCAGCTAAGTTGTGAGTCTGGTTCTTTCTATAAATCGCCTTGCTTTCATTCAAATTGGCTTTTATAAACATTCTAAGTATCCCAGTAAAAAATTTCATTTTCAAGTTTTTATCTCCATCCTTTGTTAATGGTTTAATTACAAAAATGTTATCTACTAAGTCTTAATTGTCAATATTATGATGTTCTCTACTCCCAGCATATAGCTAAATCATTAACTCAGACAAGGAATCTAAAATCTTTACTTGATTATAAGTTTAAATTTCATCTATTTTTTTATTTTTTTCAAAGTTTCGAGAATAACTAGATTCAATTAGATAATTTTTAAGATAAGGAAGAAGTTTTCTCTGAAATTTGCTCAATGTCAAGTTTGCAATCATTTTTTGTTATCTCATATTTTTAATTATTTTAAAAATATCCATTTAACCATCAATTTTCTCACGACCATAATCAAATAATTACTTTCTCAGAGTTTTGCTTCATTTTTTAAATATCAAACAATTTTTGCAGGCTTCTTTACTTGTATAATAGAATTGAGCTCTAGCCTTAAGTTCTTAGATCATTCGAAGTAAATTTTTAGGCTCATTTTAGTTTAATCCATAATGTTTTTCTGTTTTGCAGTTTTCTTAAACATTTTTATTCACTATTTTCTTCTCAGTCAAATATAATCTCTTGATTAGACTCTAGTAAAAAAAGAATTCTTATATGGGATTTATTAAGAAGATAATTATTCCCACTAGAGTACTAGCTAAACCACCAACATTTGAAAGAGCAAATAATAAATTAGCCCGAGTGTTTTAGAATGATATTTAAGAACTATCAAGATCCAGATTGATTTAAAGGTATGGTTATATATCATTCCTATCATAGGTAATTTCAGCTACTCTTTAAGTAGAATAAAATTCAATATCATAAACATCAAGAGCCTCATGAATTAATGATGACGACCCCGAAACTATATTTGATTTAATTCAATAATCAAATTCAACTCCTAATGATGTTTGCCTAAAACTAAGAGCATCATATAAGATTCTTGTATTAACTGGGAAATTAGAATTATCATTTTTATTAAATTATCTCGTGGTTATTAAAATGTTAGCAAAAGCTTACGTCAGGATTTCTTCAATGAGTGTATTATTAGTAATGCATTTCATATTAGGCTGTTTAGCACTTAAATAATCTTGATCGCAAGGAATAAAATTAATTGATAAATAACTTTTTTAATTTGTTTGAATTTTGAAGTTTTTATCGAACTTCAAACATTATAATTCCATATTTTCATTATTGCTTTTGAATTCTTCCTATAAAGTAATAAATTCAGAAAGTCCTTAGAAATTTTAGTTATCACATTTTTTTGCAGATAAATAGTCCTCAATATAATCAGATATAGTTGATTAGATATTAATTATTTGGAGTCTAAATATTTACTCATTTTAAATCGTATTTTTATAGTCATCAAATCTCAATATTCCAAATGCAATATCAATATCATGAGATGAAATATTTTTGCTAATGTCAATCGGAAGATCATAAGAAATATAAGTTACCTGACTTTTATAGTCCATAATATCTTTTATTTGCTGGATAAAGTAAATTCCTATTATTGCAAAGGTTATTAAACTGAAAAATGCTCCAAGATAACTCTTCTTAGTTTCACTTCCATTGTATTTCAATTAAATTTTGTAGCCATAAATATCACAAGAGATAATTTTAGTTAAAGAAGCCTTGATAAATTTTGACAACATTAAAAAATATAAATTATATTAATTATGTACACAATTAATTCGAAGTTCAATTTGAATTTATTTGCAATATTTCTACTATTGATATTCTATGGGGTTTTGGGGTTTTGGGGTTTTGGGG